AGTCGCGAAGCCTCAACTTTATGGTATAGTCCATAAAGCATCAGTTCGTCCAGCCGATCGTTATGCTGCACTGCACCTGTACATCATGGTCATAGAGATGGAGATGGAGCTGGATATTGGATATTGGAGTTTGCAGTTGGTAGGTTCCACTTGATTCGGCTCCATTCGAATGTCCGGGTAATTGTTTATCGGACGAGTTCACTTGATGTGTTACTGTTTTTTGTTGTTTTTTTTTTTATTTTTTTTGCTGCCCATTTATTATCGAGTTTTGGGTTTGTTCGGCTCATTATGCTTGCTGCTCGACTGCATCGCATTGCAGTGACTGCGTTGCTGCTTCCTTTTGTTTCATTTAAAACGTGTCCCGTCCGCATCGTGCAACCGCAAAATGAAAAAAAAAAAAAATTCAGAAAAAAAATAAAAACCCCAATGAAAATCCAACTGAAGCACGAAAATTGTGTGCGGTTTTCTTCTATTGTTACTGCCACTTTTGTTATGATTGTCTCTCCCTCCCAGTTTTGATTTACCTAAAAACGTTGATTAGTCGAATCCATTATAATTGCCGCTTCAGACAAAGCCAAATCAAACCGAACACAATGAAACAGAAACGGTGGAGAAATACCAGACCTATGCCGAAGAATCTACTTTCCCCGCAGGCCAAAAGGAAGGGGAGGAGTCGCACTTTTCAAGGGGAGGGAGGCGTGGCGGTAGAGATCACTCAAGCGCTGTATGTTTACCGTTGCTTTCCATTCAAAAGCTTTTCGAATCCAATCAGCTGTGGCCGGCAAATATACCTCCATCGATCGGATCGTCGACTACTGTCTGACATTCCAACGAGATGATTGCAAGAGTGATAATAAATGGATATACAAAATTTGCATTGATCCTTGAGAGGAAGTTCAATACGCGAAGCCTAAAACTATTTTGTTATACTAGGAATGTTTTAAAACGGTTAAAAAGGAACTTTTAATGCATTTTGTTATCTCAATATCGAATAGGACGATATGATCAATAACTTCTAGTTCCAAGAAATAGAAATATTCCATATAAACCAAGGGAATCTCCTGCTGTGACTCCCAATTAAACACGACTTCCTCTATCCATGATTCAACTACAACTCGAGTGCCAGGTCCACGCACTTTTTCCCATTTCCCTCTCTCAATCAAAGCAATAGCATTTAAATTGATATGTTTTCCTGGTCAGTCACGCTCGTGAAAAGTGTCGGATAACAGCGGGTGAGGAGTAGCTGTTCCCCCGAAGATGATGAGCAGGAAGACACAAGAGGGCACCAAATCAAGCCGCAGCGGGTGGTGTTTTGGGAGGTGTGATTAATGGACGGAGCGGGATTTGATGAAAATTCATAATTGGACAATGCCGGGGGAAGGAGTCGAGTCGAGTCGTTGTGGCTGCAAAACCATAGATTGTCAATTATCGATAGTGTTGGCCTGCGCCCGATGAATAATTATCGATTAGCCGTGTGCGGTTGCAGTTGCAGTTGCGACTGAAACGCGCCGAGTTTCAAAGGAAAGTGCTGTGCTCGAGAGGAAAAGTTGGCTTGGAAAAGCCACATGTAGATGCCGATAGTGATGCTGGCATTTTTATTATTATGTATATGCGTACGTAAGCTGGGATTGGCTCCGTAAATTGTGCATTTCAGAGCCAGAGAGCAACTAAAGCCAAAGTCAAACCATACCAGAATTGCTGACACACTCATCGCAGCGAAAGTTGCAACTCTGCCGCAGCTTTTAAATATGTAATTAATAAATGTGTATTGATTAATTTGAGGCTTTGTGAAAAGCGAAAGGACTTTCTAATATATTCATACAGAGCTCCTCCCAACGAGAGGACACACTCCGCCTCCAATTGCTCCCCAATCGATGGGAATTGAATACTGAACAGCCTCATTCATCGTGTCAGGCACTCTGAGGTACAGTATCCATCAAAAACCTTGTACATAATATATAGTTTAGGTTGCCAGGGGAACTTCTGCTGAGGGCCAAAAGTTTTTCCCCACTTTTCCTGCCCGTTTTCCGTGTCAACAGGAATTACATTGACGCAGGCATTACAGAAATGTGTTTGATTTCCTTTTCGGTTCTGTCAATAGGTCATGATAGTGGGGAGGTGGTGCAGATTTCTGCTGATTATACCTCATAACAACTTTGGCTTGTTTTCCGCATGTTCTGCAATCATTTACATAAATGTTGACTTGGCAACGCCAAAAAAACATTCCCATCTGGGTATATTATATATGGTTATAAATATATGGAAATTCTTGATTTGTTTGCCGACTTTCCTTGCAGAATGAGGTTAACTTCAGGTTGTAAACAGTAGATATGCGGGCATTGTGCAAAGGAATTCAAGCGTATAATGATCGTCAGATGGATAGACAATGCCATAAACAAAATGAATTGTCATGATTTCCGCCGCTTATACAACGCAACAAAGAGCGACAATTCAATCCGATATCTTGGCGCGTCGCACCTTTGAGATTTAATTTGATTGTTTACAATAATAAGTCACGGCTTTGCAGAAGAAAGGGGACACACACACAGCAAACAAAACGTTGCTTCGAAATGCAGAGAAAAAGTATATTAATCATTTTCCTCCGGCCGCCGGCGGGAAAGTCCAAGGAGGTATGTTACACAATCGCAATCAATGACAATGATTAACACATTTTCCACACTTGGCCTCAGCAGCAGCCACCCATCGATGGACCATAAAATCCAGCAAATTGTTTATAATGCACATGGCACACATAAGGAAAATTGTTTCTGTTTGGTTTCTGTTGCGACCAAAACTAATCTCCGATTCCAACAGCCCGCGGAAAGTAGTAGGGGTTCAATGTCCGCCACGGACCAGCGGACGTCGGACGGTGGACGACCGACCACGGACAGTTGAACGGACAGTCGAGCGGACAGGGAAGCGGACTTGGACTAAAACTCGGGACAGGTATGAGCGTAAGCGTGGTAAACGGAACAGGCATAAGCAAAAAAGCATTTCGGTAACGATTTTTGTTTCCCCACTCGAAAGGCGAAAAATGGGTGGTGCTGGGCAGGGGCTTGGTCAAAGAATTGCATGCAAAAACAAAAGCCGAAACTTACTGAAAAAGAAAGGCAGACTATATGGTAAGAGAAATACCCTGGGACAGGCGGCGATAAACGGTAATAAGATATTGATTTTTTTTGTGGTAATAGGTCGTGATTGTTTAATAATAAACATTTATTATACTTTGTATCATTTGGATAAACGGCGTATCTAATTAGTCTTAATGTTCAACCACAGGAATAGTTACCTAAATATATTGAAAAAAAACTAAGTAAAATCTGATTTTAAAGTAAAACTTTTCGACCCTTTGCTTTTTGGTCTATTAAGATGATTAGTAGGTCATAAAAAGACCCATAAATCTAAATAATACAAGTGAACGATAAATATTCATTAAATTTTTAAGTACACACAAGCTAAGTCATTTAAAAGATCTAGCTCTAAAAACGCATTGAATTTTATCGACAGTACGTTAATAAAATAATAAAAATGCTTTGGTTGCTTATTTTAAGATGTTCAAACATTAATGTGGCTCGAATATCCAATGAATTTTATTTCTACCGCCTTTTATGTCACGTCAAAATGAACATTTCGTAAACACCTCCTGAAAAATGCAAATTGCCCATTGTTTTGATGACGTTAAAAGAGACTGTCATACCCTTGTAGTAAGAAAGGGTACATTCCCAAAGAACGCCCGTCCCTTTGACTTTTGTGTGGTGGCATCGGGTGGACTGTGATGGGTGGTGTCGAGGGTGGTGCCTTGTGCGGTGGTTTTTCGTGGGGCAGTTGCCCGTTGGCGAAGGAAAATCAATGAGACATCCAAAGACATGCCACCGCCGGCTTGGGTAGTTCACTTGCGAGGCGGTTAGGTGATTGGGTGGGTGGTTGGGTACCTCGATAGTTTCGGTTTTGTGGGAAGTAGGCGCTTGCAAAAGTGGTGCTCCCCACATTACACATACGCCCCGTGCACACGCGACTGTATGGGTAGTAAGTATTAGTTAGTCAGTCAGTCAGGCGGCGAGGTGAACGAACGCTAAATTAATCTACACACATAACCAAATGAATATGCAGTGTGTGTTTGTTTGTGCGGTCTGACAGCTCAGACAATGGGATAAAGATGAAGATGTTGATGCAGATCACGATGAGGCTGCCTTCCGAACTGTTTGCCAATCAAAGTTCACTCGAGCGGTGGCAAACAATAAAAAAAATATGCAATAGGCACGTAACAGTTAATAAACTTCAGGGAAAATGAGTGGGTCGTCGGATAACCTCGATATAATTTATTGAAGTTGAGTAATATTTTAAGCGAGAACAGTTGCCTCAGAAATGACACAGAATATTTTTATCTTAAACTAAGCAACAGTAACAAAAACACAAATTCTTTAAGAGAATAAGAAAATGAAGTCTAAGTATGCATGCGTATACAATTTTTTTTTATAGATTACCAAATATTATTTAGTAAACAATGTTTTGTTTTTAATGACCAATCCAGTTTGTGAAGCGTGTCGTTATCAAACAAAGATTGTAGCATTTCCTTTAAATTCGTCATTAGTTAGACTCATTTTGGACATCAATATTTAAATAACTATTTGTAAAAAATGAACAATATTACAGAATTCTTTTTGTATATTAAATGTGTTAGTTATACTGAAATAAATGCATTCAAACCTCAGGAGACTTTTAACAAAGGAGAAATTGAACAAGGGATGTTATGAACAAAGCCAGTTTTTTATGTGATTAAATGCTTTCATCTACTGTCTTTTATGGCGGGAGTAATAACTTTTTTCTTACCACAAATTGGCTTAACTTTGTTTGTTTATGTATCCTTTATTTTAAGTACTTAATTAACATTAATTAAAAAAATTAACATTTTCTGTATTCCTTTTTTGGCATGCAAACTCCGAATTTTTTATTCACTGCAAAAGGGGTAATTTAAATTTTATCCTTGCCAATTTTCTTACCTCTTTTTGGCTTTGCCAACATTGTAAAGCTCAACGTGTTTGAAAGCAGCGTAGGCGGCCATTTCTGTTTTGTTTGTTTGCGAAAGGATAATCTCTCTGTTAAATGGATGCAATTGCTTTACTTTTCACACTAGAAAAATCTAAGCGCACGCGGAAATGGCGAAAAGCGGAGATTAGGCACGTGGGGGAAAATGTTGCAGGATGGATGATGACTCATAGATGGGGATGCTGCATGTGCGTAAAATCAATAAACCCACATATTTTAGAGAATGCAAGGAGCATCCCCGGAGAGAGAGAGAGTAAAATTGGGCGAAAGGGATGCACAGGAAGAGCAGACGGAACACGGAGAAAATTCCTCTAGTTGGCTAATTCAGGATTTCATCTTAATCCTTGTCTTGCAACATTTTCCACAACCAGTTCCCCAAATTCCCAAGCACTTCACTCACAAAGAAAAGCTAGAAAACTTTGATTTGCACTCGCGAGTATTTTTCGGTTCGAAGGATATATTGGCTATAACAATATATATATGTGTATTATTCTGTGGGTGGGCGCCCGCTGGTGATGTGCACGTTTCGATAAATGTCTGGCGACTAAAGTGCAGTGGGAAAAGTGAAAAGCATTTTATACCACGGCAGCGCGAGAAGTTTCATCGATCCAAAAACAACGACCGAAACCCAACTCATTCAGAGCGCAAAAGCTGACAAGAAGAGAGCGCGGAGAGCGAGCCCCCAGCCATGTGGCGCATCATAACAAAAACAAACTACAGCTGATGCTGACTGGAGTTGGAGCTCCCTCTGTGTTTCTCTCTCTTTTGGGACCGCGCTCTGTTCTCTCTTTCTTTCTCTACAGCAGAACCCAACTCGTGGTGGGTTAGACATTCTGATTGTAGGTCACAATAAGTTTAAAATACGCAAAGAAACCAAGCGAAAATATAACATATACTTAAGCCGCTCTTAAACACTTGCGGGATTAACATTTTGCATTTATTTTATGTGCGGCAGCGAGAAGTGTGCGCAGATATGCTTCAGTTATGCCGTGCCATTGCAAAAAAGCGTAAAAAGCGAAAAAATAGTTCAGGTCTAGTGCACTTCAGGGTTCCTATGCAATTGTTTCTCTCTCTAGCTTCGTCTTCTCGTTTCTTAAGATGCTTCTTCTTCATCTTTGGTAAATGCATCTAGTTTCTCCTAATAAAAAAAACAAGTGCATTCACATTTTCCCAACGACTGGTACTCTACCTTATACTTGGTTTTGGTTAAACAATATGCATTTTCATTGATTTATATGAAATTTGTTTACTTTTACGAATCAATTTTATTTTAAAATAATTATACTATTCATAAAATATTAACTAGTTTTAGTTTTTAATAAATCTGAAATCTTAAGGTCCTCAACACTAATACCAATTTAATTATTAGTATAACTGTACGCCTTTTTTTGTTTTGGACATATACAACATTTTTTTTTTCATTTAGTTTGAAGGTACCCTTTGGTGTATGAATATCAAAGGTCCCTAAGGTAAGGAGGCCTTGCCAATTGGCATCAGTAGTAGCAACCTACAAACATGTTTCCTAACCAAGATGAAGTTGCTGCCAACCCAGACATCGGGTCTCGAGTCTCCGAGGAGCTGTGGAACATTTCATTTGCCGGACATAAATCACTTTCATCATCACCGAACGTTCAGGCCAGCAGCAAGCTCTAATTTCAAGTGTCTTGCCACTAATGAGGCCGCCCCTTTTGCCGTTTTTGCTGCATTTGCTGCTGCTGCTGGGGCAAGAATTTAAATGCAAAATATATTTGCATACTTGGTTTTCTTGGAAAACATTTGGCACAGATTTGCACACAGAACAGGAAGCGCAAGCCAGCGACTAAGAGGATCGGGCCATGGAGCCGTAGAGTCGAAGGGGAAGTTGGGTCAAAACAGTGGTTATTTTTAGCTCTGCGAAGACACTTTTGTTTAGCCGAGCCAAAAGTTGACTGGCCGTCGTCGCTGCAGCCGCTTTTGCTTCTTTGCCGTTTTGCTATTTTACTATTGGTGGGTCGTGGGACTTGCGACCCACTGAGTGGTGCACGGGATGTGTGGTGAGGGCCGTTGAGGAGTGGTGCATGCGGCAACCTGACACCACCATGCCACTTGCCCCTTTTTCCCTGCTGTCGGTGTGTGTAAGTAAAAGCCTAGGCGTAATGCACTTGCACCAGAGTTGACAGTTCAGCTATTTTTCCTTGAATTTACATTTTTATATCAACTGTGCGAAACTTTTGAAAGCAATCATAATGAGAGCGTAAGATTTATATAACAAAAAAGAAATAGGTAAGCGTATACATACTAGCAAGCAATACTTAATTATTTACTTTTAGATAAACTTCTAATATAATAAATATTATAGTCTTTAGGTCAAAAGTATGATATAGAGTTTAAAGTATTTCCACTTAAAAATGTTACTCTTATTTATAACACAAGAATATAGTATGTAAAGCCAGTTGCTGTAATCCAAATTAAGACCTGCTGAACGCAGTCATATTTCTCTTTGAAAATTGGCAACACTGATGGAATAAAGACAGGGAGGGGGATGATGCATGGAATGGGGACTGTGGGGCACAAGCCCACTCCATGCGGTTAAAAATAGGAGAGCTCCGTCTCCTTCACCGCCATCTCCTGCCACTTCGCCCAGCTCTTGCTTAACAGTTAAGTGTCGCCTGATATTTCCCCAGGAGAAGTGCAATGGAACTCACTCGGGCACACAGATACACACTAAACACTTACTATATTTTGAGTACAGTGGTCGCTGGCAAAATATGAGCCTCTGAATATTTTATGATAATAAATTTTCCCATTTTTTATAACCATAAAATATTTTTTTTTACCTTTTTAACGCTTTCTCTATTGCACATTAAAATATATAAGTTTCTAGCTATTGTGGGAAATGGTCAAATGGTTATGTTATTTTATGCCTTTACGACTGCATAAAAGAGGCGGTTCTAAATAGTTTAGCAAGTCGTTTGGGCATAAATTTTAATATATATGTAAATACTTTCTATCCAATTACCAAAATAATAATCAAACTTTAAGGATTTATAACCATTTATCTTCATCGATGGGCTGTTCTGCAAAGCTTATTTTATGGGCGACCACTGTGATTGCGTGTGTGTGTCTAATCTCATCGAAACCGTCTGCTCCGCTTCCCTTTCTTCAACCTACACCCACGCCCCTTTTTTTTTAGTTCATGTGGTGCCCTGTCATGTGGACTTCGGGTAGTTAAAACATCATAAGGCATAAGAGTCGGGATAGATTGCAAGTACAAGCACGAGTATCTGAACGTGGGCAGTGGCAGCGGTAACTGACAATTGAAGTGGTGCGGCGGCAAACCCTAATGATTATAAGCCAGGCATCGACACTTCGCCTTTTCCAACCAGACATTTCTTCGGCACATACTGCGAATATTTAAGCCAATAAATAATTTCACTGCACAAAGTGAAATTTCCGGCTGCCGAGGCTCTGCATAATAAAAATTACCATGATGGATACGTGTCCAACATATGGAAATGCTGCCCACTGTATACGCGGGTATATGTGTAGGTAGCAGCAGTATTTGTGACATTCGGAAATGCATTTTCCAAGCCATATTTATGGCCAACTTTCGTTAATTAAAAATTTTACACTCACTTGTATTGCGCATGGTATTAATAGCGAAGCTACCGAGTTACAGGTGAAGTAATTGAGAGCTCTTAACGATCGTGAGAAGGTTAGAGAGCAGCCTGGAGGAGTTTTTTGTGCTCCAGGAAGCAAAAGCCTTTTTAACTTTAAAGACTCGGTTTTCTCATTTGGGAAAAATGTGTTTTGTTCATTTTTATGCTTTACAACTTTAACAGACAATCTTTTTAAACCTTTGAAGTATTTATTATAAAAATCAAATAAAAACCTGTAAAGGAGTAGTTGAATACCATCATTTTTGCCAATTATTTTAGGTCAAAACTTGCATTAAAAGTTGTAACAAATTACAATTAGAAAAACTCACAGACTGATAGTTTTACCGTAATGGTGTTTTTAAAGACATGATCCGTGCATGATCAACATCCTTTGGAATCACTTAATGCAAGCTGAGGACTTTCAACTTTCTTATCTCAAGCCAAAAGGCGGAAAGAAAAAGAAGGATCACTGCCCCTGTGTACATTTTCACATATGAATAGTATTTAGTTTTCTCTGCAGGCCATTGACTGACCACCAAAAACTCTAAAAAGCGGAGATTAAGTAGAGCAATTAGGAAAACGTGCACTGCAAACAACCGAATCCAAAAAAAAAGAGGAGGAGACGGACCAACAGTAGAGGAATACAAACACACGGTGAGCTGAAAGCCATCAAAAAGCTACTTTCGGTCAGAAAGGTGAGCGGTTACCGGTGAGCTACCCGTGCTCTCTGCTCTGGAAACTTGGCCATGCCCCATCCAGCGTTTAACATTCAAAATTCCCCTTGCCACATGCCACGTTTAGATTGGGGTAACAACTCATTTGCCATTTGCTTTCCCGCTGCTGCTGTTGTTGCTGCTGTTGTTGCTGCCGCTGGGAAATGTCTCGGAAATTAATCTCTTTTTTGGCTGGGCCTGTTTATCATATTATTAAGGCATTAGTGGAGGCCTAAGGGGCCAGCTGCAAATCGCTGAATCGGGCTTTATCATTATCAAGGGAAATGCATCATCGTCGGCCGAGGTAAATCTTTTAATCAATCTCCATTTTCCCTGGCGCCCTGAGAAACCGTTAGAGCACCACCACGCTCCGCATTTCCCCGATCGCAGTAGAACGAATGCAATGGATATGGCAAACACTTTCGCTTTTCGCTTTTAAATGCCTTTCGTAGATCCAAAGGCAGAGGGCCCGGCCCGCATATATGGAGTTTAAATTGGAGTTTGGCCCAAACCTCGATTCCAAATTGTCTTTTAATGATGGCCAACAATAGCGCAACTTCCTTGAATGCATTGTGTGTATACGCACTCACAAACACTCGCCTATTAAAGGTACTAAGGTAACAATTACCAGAGCAGCACAAAGCTAAGCAAAGCTGGCGTTAAATTAATGCTTTAATTTCTTTTGACTTTTAACTTTTCAACTCTTTTCGGCTCCGTTTCTTCTAGAGAAACTCTTTTTAATACACTTGGAAAAAATATCGAATGGATACTTATTCATTTTAAGAAAACAGAACGAAAGCCAACGGATCATAAAAAAGATAAAAACGCAAATATTAATTATAGATTAAATGCATCCAATGTCTAAATTTGGAGATTTTTATTTGTTTATGCAGCCTACCCCAACTACAAACTCCCCATTTTCGAAATGCGTGAGGTCCAATCGAAAAACAATTTCTTGTGCACCGGGAAATGTGAAAAGCCATCTTGAATTGAGCGCATCGAGAAGGAAATGTTGCTAAATTCGTTGGACAGCGCCAATATGCAACATCTCCAGATGAGGCTGTCTGCATATATCGCTATATATACGCCTGTTCACGCTGCGTCTGGGCAATAAAATGTCTGGCACTTGATCTATCCAGACCTGCGAGCCATAAGGAAGCTAAAGAGCTGCTCCCGAGGCGTCTTTAATGGGTTCGAGTTGAGCGGCAGAA